TAGGTGTGCCTAGCTTAGCCTCCCCTGCTGCGTCAGGCATAGGATCCCCTGCTTTGTGTAGTCTTGGTGCTTCTGCCGTCGTTCCGTCGCCAGACCTCTCGGCTTCGCTTTCCTTCACCTTGGACTCTGGCGCCTCTCGGTGTTTCTTCCGCGACTCCACCACCCTGACGCCGCTTCCTGTTCCTGCTGCCGTTTCTCTTGCTGACCCCTCCGGCGGTCCGGTAGTCGCCCGCAGTTCCACCACCCTTCCCTGTCCGGCGGTTCCTTCGGGCTCTCTTACAGGTCTGCATATCCCCTCGTTCTCCAGGAACCTAGTTGGTGTCGGCTGCCTCCAGGACCTTGGCGTCACCACTACGTTCCCTGGTCACAAGCGGTATGCTGTCTGTACCGAGGCCGCCACTGGTGCCCCCCTGTCCACGTTCCCCCGGGACCCGGTGTCCGGCCTGTTCACTCTGGACACCGTGCCCCCCCCGGCTGGAGCGCCCCCTCAGGTGGCTGTGTCTACCCAGGTTGCTGCTGCCTGCTCCTGTCGCTCCCTCACTCACCCGACCCTCCTGTGGCACCACCGCCTAGGTCACCCTGCGCTCCCGCGTCTGCGTCACATGTCCCAACACGGTCTTGTCCTTGGTCTCCCAGGTTCACTCCCCGCGTTTCCCTCCTCCCCAGCTCCACCTTGCACGCCTTGTGTCGAGGGTCGGCTTCGCCGTGCCCCTCACTCCTCCTCATTCCCTCCTACCGCCGCGCCGCTGCAGACCCTGCACATGGACGTCTGGGGCCCCGCCCCCGTCCCTGGGCCGCGTCGCGAGCGCTACTTCCTTGTGCTTGTCGACGACTTCACTCGTTACACCACAGTCTTTCCCCTGGAGCGCAAGGCCGACGTGCCTGGCGCCCTCATCCCCTGGCTTGTCTCTGCGCGTGTCCACCGCGGTCTCCCTGTCTTGCGTCTTCACTCAAACCGTGGTGGCGAGTTTGCCTCAGGTGTCCTTGGTCGCTTTTGTCGTGCGGAGGGCATCACCCAGACGTTCACCCTACCGGACTCCCCACAGCAGAATGGGGTCGCTGAGCGACGCATCGGTTTGGTCATGGAGGTGGCTCGCACCTCCATGGTCCATGCCGGTGCACCCCATTTTCTGTGGCCGTTCGCTGTGCACTACGCTTCTCACCAGCTTAACCTGTGGCCGCACCCTCAGCAGCCGCAGGTTTCGCCGACCCGTCTGTGGACTGGGTCTCCTGGTGACGCGTCTGCGTTCCACGTCTGGGGCTGCCTTGCTCACGTCCGTGCCTCCGGCACGGACAAGCTCACTGCCCGCACCCTTCCCTGCGTCTTCCTCGGTTTTCCCCTTGACGCGTCCGACTGGCACTTTTACCACCCGCCGTCTCACCGCTTCTTTCACTCTCGTGACGTCACCTTTGACGAGTCCGTCTCCTACTACCGCCGCTTCCCCCACCGTGGTCCCCCGGTTACCCCCCCCCTGTTCCTGGTCACCCCTTCCCCGGTAGTCCCTGCCCCTCCTCCTCCTCCTCCCCGTCCCGCCCCCTCTGGTGTCTCCCACGTCACCCCCCTTCCGTCCGTGGACCCGGTTGAGGAGTCTTCTGACTCTGGTGGCCCTCCGGTGCAGTCCTCGCCGGCCGCCCCTCCCCAGGTGTCCCCTCCCCAGTCCCCTCCTCCGTCGTCCCTGCCGCCACTGCAGCCGTCGCCGTCGCCGACGCCGCCGCCGCCGCCGCAGTCGCCGCCCCCGTTCGCTGACTCTGGGGGTGCTCGTCCCGGTCGCCCTGGGGGTGGTCCCTCTGGGGGTGCTGGTGTGGAGAGTGCCGGTGGTAGCCGAGGAGCAGCTTGCGGTCCAGGTGTCGCCGTTGTGCCGCCGCAGCAGCAGTCCCCGCCGGTGTCCGCCCTTCGCCTGCTCGGCCTTCCGTCCCCCGACCCTGCGTCGGTTCCTCCCCGACCGTCTCCTCCTCTTCCTGTCTACAGCCCTTTTTTCCCTCCGCCGGACTCGTCACCGGCCCGTCTCCCCCCTCGTTCCCCTCCTGTGTCCCCTCCCCTGTCTCCTGACCCGACTCCTCCATCGCACGTCTGGTCTCACCGTCCCTCCCGTGCTCGTCCTGCCTCGCCTGTCTTGCACTCCCACCCTATGTTGCTTCGTTCACACGCGTCTCGCTGACTTCGCCTCTACCCGCCGCCTTGACTACGCCACCGCTCTGGTCTCTGACCCTGCCTGTCCTCCGTCTGTCGGGGGTGCTCCTGCCCTTGGCAGTGACGTCCTTGAGGACCGCCAGTTCGAGCTTGCTTTCCTCTCCGAGGCTGCTCCCCATCTCTGTTCCATGTTGCTAGTCCCTGAGGGTGACCCAGACGCTTTCGACATCCCGACCCCTCGCACTTACGCTGAGGCGACTTCGGGACCCTGGGCCTCGCAGTGGATAGCTGCCATGGAGCAGGAGATGGCATCTTGGAGATCCACCGGCACCTTCGTCGACGCAGTTCCCCCACCTGGGGTGAACGTAGTCGATGGCCGCTGGCTCTTCAAGGTGAAGCGCCCTCCTGGAGAGCCGCCTGTCTTCAAGGCGCGCTATGTGGCTAGAGGCTTCAGTCAGCGCGAGGGGGTGGACTTCTTCCAGACTTTCGCTCCGACCCCGAAGATGACTACTCTTCGGGTTCGGTTACACCTAGCTGCTCAGCGTGACTACGAGCTTCACTCCCTCGACTTCTCCACTGCCTTCCTTCAGGGCAGCCTACACGAGCAGGTCTACCTGCGCCGCCCTCCGGGCTTTACTAGCACCTTCCCTCCTGGGACCCAGTGGCTCCTGCGGCGCCCCGTCTACGGTCTGCGCCAGGCTCCCCGTGAGTGGCACGACACTCTGCGTGCTACGCTTGCTGACCTGCAGTTCTTTCCGTCTTCTGCAGACCCTTCACTCTTCGTTCGTGCTGGCCAGACTCCGTTCTACATCCTCGTTTACGTCGACGACCTGGTCTTTGCCACAGCAGACAGGGACGCACTGGCCTCCGTGAAGGCAGAGCTGCTGAAGAGACACACCTGCACTGACCTTGGAGAACTGCGCCGTTACCTTGGCTTGCAGATCTCCAGGGACAGAGCTGCGCGCACCATCACCCTGACTCAGTCACACTTGGTGCGCCAGGTCCTTCAGAGGTTCAGCCTTCAGTTCTCCTCTGCACAGCCCACCCCTCTGCCTGTAGACCACAGGCTCTCCGCTCCAGTGCCTGAGGAGTTGGTAGAGCCCAGCGGCCCCTACGCAGAGCTGGTGGGTTGCCTCATGTACCTGATGACTTGCACTCGCCCAGATCTCGCATACCCTCTCAGCATCCTGGCTCGCTTTGTGGCCACTGGCAGACACCGACCGCAGCACTGGTCTGCCGCTAAGAGGGTTCTGCGTTATCTTGCTAGTACATCGGGCATGGGGTTAGTGCTAGGAGGACGCAGGCCAGCGGTCCTTACTGGGCACACAGACGCTTCGTGGGCAGACGACGCTGAGACACTCCGGTCTACCCAGGGCTACTGCTTCAGCCTTGGCTCAGGTGCCGTCTCGTGGAGAGCTACTCGCTCCTCGTCTGTTGCACAGTCCAGCTGTGAGGCTGAGATCTACGCCGGTGCCATGGCGGCACAGGAGCTCCGCTGGCTGACCTTCTTGCTCACTGACTTAGGTGAGCGGCCTAGCTCTGCCCCGGTCCTGTTCGCTGACAACAGGGCCATGATCCTCCTGTGTCAGGAGCCTCGACTCGAGGGCAGAGCGAAGCACATTCAGCTGCGGTACTTCCTCCTGCGTGAGCTACAGCAGCGACGTCAGGCTCGCGTAGTACACTTGGCCTCAGGTGCCAACACGGCTGATATCTTTACGAAGGCGCTTGCGCCTAAAGATCATCAGCGGCACTGTGTACAGCTTGGTCTAGTTCCTGTAGCCTCTCACTTGCTAGGACCTTGACTTTGTACTGTCCTTTATATGTATACTCAGACTGGACTTGTGTCCTCTCCCAGTGGCTGGACTAGTAGTGTCGCCCTGCTCTTGTGCTTGCCTTGTCTGTACTCCTTCTGACCGGTCGCTCAGACCCTTGCCTCAGAGATTGGACTAGTGTGCCGCCCTGAGCTGCTTGTTTTCCCTCCGCCGGACTCGTCCCCGGCCCGTCTCCCCCCTCGTTCCACTCCTGTGTCCCCTCCCCTGTCTCCTGACCCGACTCCTCCATCGCACGTCTGGTCTCACCGTCCCTCCCGTGCTCGTCCTGCCTCGCCTATCCTGCGCTCCCACCCTATGTTGCTTCGTTCACACGCGTCTCGTCCTCCCCTTCTGCCGTCGCCTCCTCCGTCCTCCCTTGTTGTTGCGCCCCCCCCGCTGTCCGACTACCTTCGTGCCGCTCGTCCTCTCGTTCCTCGGGTCCTTGCCTCGCTCTGATACCATATCAGAATAATTGAATAATCGTAAAGTGAGAGTACACACAAATATATCTAAGTTTTGTATCCTCTAAGAGGTGACTCTATACAGTCTATACAAACATGACAAATACACATGTTTGACACTAGCAGGGCGCTAAGGGGCTAGTGGGGCACTAAGGGGCCAGCGGGGCGATAGGGGCTAGGGCGGAAGCGGGCGGCGGACCTAACCTCAGGTGATACCATCTCAAAGTAGAACAAATGACTAGAATGAGGTTGTACAAGGGGATATAACAAGAGGGGTTGGACCCTATTTAAGCATGCACCTAGCTGGCCTATAAAATATGCAAATTATATGTTAACAAGGCAGCAATGGTGGCACACAAATGGTGGTGGACGAATGGTGATTGTGAAGGGGTTGAGTGGTTTATTAATTTCAAGCGTTTCCAACCTGCAACGCTAGTGGTATTTAGAAAGGATTTCAGAAGGCAGTCTTCTAGCAAGTTCTCATGCTGGTAGTTACGAAGTAGAGATTAGGCTTGTGTACATCACTGTGCTAGCCTGGGGAAGGAAACCACTATCTGTTGAGCTTCTGCTTTTGTGAACCTTCGCAAAGCAACTAGGAAGAGCAGGAAATCTCCATTAATCGTGAAGCTATCACAACAAATGGGCAGGGCGCAGAACCTCCATAACCAGCCAACAAGTCCAACTCAAGAGAATGGAATCCTGACCATATTCACTGCAGACGGTGTTTCCTGCACCGACAATTGAAAATAGAAACCCCAAGAGAAACCGAAATACACACGAAACCGCCAAAACCCTCCTGAAAGCTCGCAGCAGCAGCAGCTGATAGCCTGCTATGACGCCAGCTCACGTCCAGGCCAGGACTTTCACGAGTGACAGTCCTCTTGACAGGATGCCGAGAGATCGGAACACTTGACGAGCCCTTTCTTCGGACATAGGCCACCTTTGAGTCGCCGATAGTCGTTCCGAAGCGAAGTCGACCAATCAGCGAGTTTCGAAGCCGGCGAGCTGAAAACTGGCACATCTCACACGCGATCCGCAACCAATCCTCTTCCCCGACAAACAAACGAAAGCATACTCATCATCACTCCGTACGGAATAAACCCAAAGTCTACGTGGGCAGGGAAAACCGAAAAAAGGGCAGCAGCTGGTGGGAGAGAAAGGTAGACGCGGATTGAAGGCAGCAAGATGCGGCAGAATTGGAGCGTTGTATGGAAACGTCTCAAAAGGGTATTTCCTCATTGAGCAGCCTGAGGGCAGTCGCGAGCGATGTGGCCGGGCTGGTTGCAGGTGTAGCACGTGCGGGGAGCGCCGCCGCCGGGGGCACCACCCATAGCAGGCGTCGGGCAGTCGCGAGCAATGTGCCCGGGCATGTTGCAGTTGTAGCACACGCCGGGACCGCCGCCGAACCTTCCGCCGCCGCGGCCGCCGCCAAAGCGTCCACCGCCACGGCCGCCGAAGCCACCGCCGCCGAAGCGTCCACCGCCGCCGCCATACCCATCACGCCTGGGAGCGCCCTTAACGTAGGATCCGCCCGGGCCGGTGACGTTAACGGCCTTGGTGCGGCCGTCCTCGCTGGTCTCGATGGTGAACTCGACGGCCTCGCCCTCGTCGAGGCTGCGGAAGCCCTCGGCCTTGATGCTCGTCTGGTGCACGAAGAGCTCCTCGCCACCGTCGTCCGGCGTGATGAACCCGAAGCCCTTGGTGCTGTTGAACCACTTCACCTTGCCGGTCTGCGCGCCGGGGGTGGCAGCGACGTCGGGAGCAGCCATCGTTGAAATGGTGAAGGGAACGGGGTAGAGTAGGTTACTGAGCGGATAAGGAACAGATCTGAACGCGAGGAAGAGAAAATACTAAATGAGTGATTAAGTGAGGGTTTTGAACTGGCAGAGGTGGGGGAGGGGAGAGGAGGAGAGGGAGAGCTGGCGAGGAGTGACTGACTAGTGCTGGGGAGGAATCACGGTCCCCACACCTCCGTGCTCAATCCACGATTTTCCAATCTTTAGGTGGAGCGCGCCTTGTATCGATGAGGAAACAGTTCCAAAAATGAAAATGATTAGACGACTTATCAAGATGAACGGTCCAATGCTATGGATCGGTGATTTCCTCTTCGATGAAATCTTGAAAACAGTTCCCGCCACTTTTTTGGTGGTTGCTCCCCATACAAAAACCCTGGGGTTTGCGGGATGTGGGGTTCGTGTCCAACGAGACCCTTGTGAAGATCTAGCCGTTGATTGACGTTATCCACGTCCGATGTCGGTGTGCAAAGGATGAGCAGGAAAAGAGCATCCAGCGAAGATATTTTCCTGCCCTTGAGCAAACACTGTGACCCCGATCTCCACAACGGCCTTCGATTTTCATACCTTGGTAGATCCGACGGTATTTACTCGTCGATCGGGGATCTGCATATGCCACCTCGAACAATCCCATTGGCTTGAACTCAGAAGTTTGCTGACTACTTCGCCAACATGCAAAGCAGGAATGCGCCGCCTATCAGCTCCGCCCGTAGTTGTTCCCCGAAAAATAAGACATCTTGAGGCACCCCCAAATCACATGCGAAACTCGATTAGGGCGTGTCATAGGCGTTCGTTTTCCCCTCGAAAACCTACCCAACCGCGTATTTGTTTCGTCTAGACTTTTTAAAACATCCGGAACCTTTCTCAACCGTGTACTTGACTACCTATGACACCCCGAGGGCTGCCCAATTTCCTTTTTGTATTGTGCGGGAATGGGGTGGGGGGAGCACCTGCAACCTGCCCTCCGCCTCTCGTTGCGCCTTCGCGCCCAAATCAGAGCCGCTCCGTCACCGAGCCGAACCAATGTTGCTGACACCAAACCTGGGGGCTTGGTCCTTCACAGGTTCGGTGTAGTCCTCTGCTTAACATTTTGGTGTGGTTCAGCACGGTGTGTAATCCGACCTCTGGAAGATGGAACCTGACCCGCCTTATAGCCCAACTTTATCATTACCGCCAGTAAGAACTCATGCAAGCCAATCTGGCCATTTTATGCCAGATTTCCGTATTTCCTTTTCAGTTGGTCCCTTTGGCAATCCTTTTGCTCCAGCTCACTTGTTTGGTGGTGGGCGTGTTTCACTGCTGCTGTTAGCAGCAAGGTAAGGTCCAGCTCTATTTTCCACCTGGATCTTGGATCAGGAGAGAGGAGGTGGAATTTGCAAGGATATTGTGTAAGAAGCAGAGGAGGTGCTCTGCTTATCTGAGAGAACGTAAATTCGCGAGACACGACATTTCGCCATGGCGGCTACTGATGCCGGTGCACCCGCAGCCCCAGCTGAATCCACTCCTGGCGGCGCGCAGACTGGAAAGGTGAGAACAGCGCAGCTTCCTACCATTCAACCGGTTAACTAAGGTTAAACTACTCTGCGAGGTTCTACGCTGGAATGGTTGTTTTATCGCGCTGGAGCTGTGACATGATGAGATCAGATGATGCTGTTGTTGTTTCATACGGTATTTTCTTCGACTGGCATTTGCGAATGATCGTCTCCTCAGATCGTTCACCTTCGAATCCCGCTTTTGAGTTGTCTCATAAGGCATATCGTTCTCCTTGGATCGTTCACCTTCAGATCCCAGATCTGTTTCCTCTTTAACTTTATGGATCTTCCATGTCGTTATCGCTGCTCAACACGTTTTATGTCACTGCACGAGACCTGTTTCTCGTTTATAGTCCCGAGAAATCGCCTTTTATGGGTTTAGCGGCGATCATATTTGAATATTTTAACCTGCTGTTCGTGTGGACGAATCGTCTTATGGAGCTGACTCTTTATGCCTGACTGGCAGAAATATGATCTGTGCGTCAACTAGAATCACAACATCTGCGGAGGATGTGCTGGAATAAATCCGAACGTGAACCGATCCTGAACCCTCCTCCCGAACCTGACTCCGGCAGGTTATTTGGTTTTACAGCCTATATCCTGAACCGATCCCGTTTCCCCTGTCGAACCTGAACCCTACAGGTGAAGTGGTTCAACAGCACCAAGGGTTTCTGAAGCTTATCCCGAACCAAAGTCGAACCTGTCCCGAACGTGATCCCTGCAGGTGAAGTGGTTCAACAGCACCAAGGGCTTCGGGTTCATCACGCCTGACGACGGCGGCGAGGAGCTCTTCGTGCACCAGACGAGCATCAAGGCTGAGGGCTTCCGCAGCCTCGACGAGGGCGAGGCCGTCGAGTTCACCATCGAGACCGCCTCTGACGGCCGCACCAAGGCGATTAATGTCACCGGTCCCGGCGGCGCCTATGTGAAGGGCGCGCCGAGGCGGAACGAGTATGGCGGAGGCGGCGGATATGGCGGTGGCGGGTATGGCGGTGGCGGAGGGGGTTATGGAGGTGGCGGGTATGGCGGTGGGGGTTATGGGGGGGACTTTGGCGGGGGCGGTGGGTATGGGGGGGTTATGGCGGGGGGTATGGGGGTCGCAGCGGGGGTGGGGGCGGCAGAGGCGGAGGTGGTAACTGTTACAGCTGCGGAATGCCCGGGCATATGGCGAGGGACTGCCCCCAGGGGCCGTCTGGGGGCGGTGGCGGCAGGGGAGGAGGTGCACGCTCCTGCTACAACTGCGGGCAGCCCGGACACATTGCGAGGGACTGTCCGACGGCTGGGCAGTAGCCTGATGGTGTGCTTATAACGAGGTCGGGAGAGGTGCTGCGTCGGGCAGGTGCTGTTTTCAGGAGGTAGTGTCAGATGGAGCATAACTCTGTAGCTGGAGGTACATTGGACCAATTCCAATGTGCCATGGTCCACAATGGAGGGTGGCGTTAGCAAATGCATGTCTGCCTGAAATCTTCTCACCGTCATGTGTCTTGCTGTGTCCACTTCGTCTGGAAACCGGAAGATGGGGGATGGGGGCATGAGTTGGGAGATGGGGGTGATCAATCTCTTGTGCACATGCCTTCATAGTGTTCCTTGGCAAATCATCAGTTTTCACATGCGTTCATGGAATCTTTGTTATGCGTGCTCAGTTTCACATTCGACATCCTTACCTCAGCCTCTACCGTTGATTCTCTTCAAGCTACCTATCTGGTGTGTTTACTAACTTACTTCATATATAGATTCGCAACATACACTTTGAAGTTCTAGGTGGAAATTCCTTCCTAAATCTCGCACTCGATACAGTGACAGTAAGGTCCTTGAACTGGCAGTTTGTCGCATCACATGCGCACGCGGAACTTGGAAGAACGAACAGCCCTCTCTTTGTTGAACTCCCTCGGTACACCAGGTGTCCAGGGAGTCTCGGAAAATTGACCGGGCCTATCCCCCAACCTGCGCCCATCCGCCACCAATTACGGGCAACGGCCCTTGCCCATTCACTGGGGTTTTGTGGCACCTGCGACACGGCGGCGGCGAAATCGTCCATGCAAAGGAGCTCGCGAAAGCACAAATGTCCACCTAACGGCCCATTCTCCCGTGGCGAAGGCTGGCGATTTTAGTGCGCGCATTACGCCCACGCGGTTCGTCGAAATCGGGGCTATTGGGTGCGCACCCGGTGTACAGTGAAAGATAGTTTGGTTTGGAGTGACACAGTCACATCACAGAGGCAGTCTTGCTTACTGGCTTGCGTCATCCGCATGAGAGGGCTGTCTGTTCCCACGTGATCTAATCATCACGATGCCCCTGGTGCTGGCTGATCAATCTGTTTGCTTCCTCGGACTGACCACCCCTCGGCAACTTCCGTCACATCTGCTTTGACTGTTGACGAGGTGGGATGCTGCAATTGTGGCGTGGCATTCCGAATTCCCATCAAATTTGCCCCTCGATCTTGCTGAGGTTTCGTTGGCGCTGATCTTCTATTGGCGGGCGCCGATCAGTTTTTCCTTCTGGTTCGGACTGCGCTGTGGCCTAAACCTGAGGTTTGTTCGGAACTTGAAGGACAATGTGCATATCTCCACGATTGGTTCGAAGCATGTAAAGCTGGCAACATGTGAGTCGTTCGAGGGATATCGCTGACGGCAAACGGAGAAAGGCTGGCTAGAATTGACTAGGATTTTGGCAATGCCACGCTGTCTGAACATTTTAGCACGTTGTGGCAGAAGGCGAAGTACGTCAGGTTCTGATGTTCGTTAGAGCGAACTAGCAGGCGTGGCAGAGAGGTGCGCCGAAATCCGCCTATTCCTTCGCTTCGGGTGAGAGTGAAGGCATCTGTGGCTTGTTCGGACACGTGAGTGGACGCCAAACCAATTTGTCACGTTCTCCATTCGCGACGTCGCAAGGGGGAAGCGCACACATCATGTGCGAAGAGAGGCTTGGACCAATCAGCAATGTCCGCTGACATCAGAAACACGCCTGATCCGGTGTATCAAACCACCAGCCAGCAAATTCATCATTACCTTCACAGCTAAGGAAGGTCTGGCCGAACCTGCCACTGCCAAGGTTGAACCCAGCCTGTACATCTGCTCTCCCTAACCTATACATGAATCTCTAAAACAAGAACCCTTGCCTGAATTCTGGTGCGGCAGCGGTTTGGTGCAGCATTGTTCCGGTTCGGCAGAGGAGTCCTGGTTTGGTGCATAGCAGATACTTCTGGAATCTGGTCCCTGCTCGAGCCAAGACCGTCAGGCCAAGAGCTATTTTTGAAGTTTCCGCCAGCTGGATTTCTTCCATGGCTGCCGCTGGGGGAATAACGGGCGGAGAGGTTCCCAGGCCCTCAGGTTCGGGAGGGAATCGGGCCTAAAGAGGTTGTCCTGCCCAGTCTGGTTCGTTAGAGCCCTCAAGAATGTTCGCCTAGCTCTGGCCTGATCATGTTTGATCAATCCGCCAATCTGTGTTTGCACCTTATCCACTCTTGTCTCTCCTACTCTTCGGACAATTTCAGCATTCCACACGCAGCATTCTTCGGGTAGCGTTCTTCACTCCGCTTTGACTGCTCCCTCGTTGGCTGATCATGTGACATCGCTCCACACTTAGTCCAATTCTCAATCAACCATTTTAAGTTCCCCTGAAACTGCGTAGCCCGTCCTAGCATACCGTACCGCGCGGCATGATGCTACATGCTTCCAGCAATCCACGACATCTTGATCATAGAAGCAATCTTACAAATTCCTGGATCGCACACAGCATAGACGCCGCAGAAAACCCGCCGAAGCTTGTCTCCTCGTCTCCAGCAATGGCCTTCGCTGGTGTCGTGTCTTGCGCTGCGATCGGCGACAAGTCCTCGTCGTCGCCAGGCGACGGTTATGATCAGGCGATCATGGGCGATCACTGTGCGACATTCGCATCGGGGACTTCGCTATCCGCCAAGCGGCAGCCGATCATCGATATCAACCACCCTCCCGTGTCGCCTGCACATGTACGCACGATTCCGCTCCTCACTGATCAACTTTGCCATGGCATTTTTTCTAGATACTCCCGCTTTGCCTCGATCCTCGTGTCAATCCAGAGAGTGCAGTCTTTGCCAATTTCTGGCAATAATAATAAGCAATGTCTCACGGTGTTCTTGTGTTTCCTTTGTTTACCCTGCCTTGACAACAATCCGCAGGAGCCATTCCAAGCACCCGCAAGCTCCTATTTCCACGCTGATGAGCTCGCAGTTAAGGCTCTGCGCTCCCCGGCCCTGCAGGGTCCGTGCTCCCCCGCGCCGCAAGCCGTTCTCCCGCACTCGCTCCGGCACAAGCCCGTCGGGTGGATGTCGAAACTTGGATTCATCGTTCCTGCTGGAGCGAGCTTCCACGGGCCGTACATTCACGAGCAGGACCAGAGCCATCATGATCATCGTGATCATCAGCCGTTGAAACATAAGAAGCATCCTGATCAGCAGCATCATCAGCGTCAGCACCAGCAGCAGCTGCACGGGGAGCGGCAGGCGTATCACCAAGCTCACCGCGCGAATCACGAGCAGGAGTCGCAGCACGTGCACGAATCTGAGGACGGCAAGGATGCGGATGAGGACGGATCGGACGGCTACGATTCGATGGAGCCCGAATCGAACGAGCGGGACGACGCGGTGTGCTCTGGCGGGAGGGTGAAGACCTGCGCGCATTGCGGCACGTCCAAAACTCCCCTCTGGCGCAACGGCCCCCCCGGACCCAAGGTAAACATCGCTTTGTTTCGTCCGACGCGAGACACAATAGGAAGTCATGTGCCGAGCATGTTCCTCTTCCAAGTTCTCCCCCCCCTCCCCCCCCCCCCCCCCCCTCCGACCCGTCCCAAGTCGTGTGATACATGTCCTTGTGACGTACCTGCTTCGCTCCTTTCTTTCCCTTTTCCATCGCGTCCGTCTAAGTTTTCTCCCCTCTCCTCCCCCTTGCGTCGATAACCTGTACCGTGTGCAGTCGCTGTGCAATGCGTGCGGCATTCGCTTCAACAAGATCCGCAGCGGCAAGCGCAAGGCGTCCCCGAAAGAGGCAGCCATGATGCGCGAATACGAAACCGTCAACCCGTCCTACTCCTCCAAGGCCGCGCTTGCCTTCTCCCCTTCCGCCGCCAAGCCTCTCCCCTTCTCGCCGGTACATAAGGCGCGCTCGAAACTGCCACGTGTCCACATGAGCGCGTTTCACGCTGCTTCAGGCAGTGCGGCCGACACCAGCAGCGACAGCGGCTCTCAGGAGAGCGAGTGCGGGAGCCCGAAATCGAGGTCTTGCGCGTCGCCTACTCCTTCCACTCCGACGCCCTCTTCGTGCTTAGCTAAGCATCATGCGCACTTAGCCAAGAAGCAGCGCAAAACGTCTCCTCTTGGGGAAGCTTCTGACGCAGATGTAGATAGTACGGGCGGAAGCTGCCTAAGCCTTCAAGGGGGAGCGATACGATTCGATGCCGTGCACATGTCTGCTGGTACTGTGCCCAATACCGAGCCTGCTTATAACGAAGCATCTCCTGGCAACCGAAGCTGCTTTCTACCTGCTATTGCGAACCTGAACGGAGCGAGCCCGGCATTCGCTAACGGCCGAGAGGAAGGACGAGGGCAGGAAGCGTCGAGTGCGGACGCAAGTCTCCGCATCCTGGGGAAAAGGCTGCGGAAGGAGGGGAAGGAGCGGAAGGCGGACGAGGATGACGTCATGCTTGGTGCGCGGCTGCTATTCTCGCTCTTCGCGGGAGCCGGCGTATGACGAGTGAACGTCGGAGACGTCGTCGTCACGTCACCCTGGTTCCATTACCTGTCGCGGGTTGCGCGGTTCTTGCTATTACGACGGAAAAAAAAAAAAGGAGCGCAACTCAGAGCGTGCGTGGAAGAGTTGCGTGCGGGAGAAGGAACCGCATGGCGTGGGAAGTGTGGAGGCGGACGAAGAACCCCTTCCGCGCCCGATGTGTCGAACAGGAGGGCACCACCAACAGTCTGAGGCGCAAACAAAATCGCGAGGCGGAGGAGCCTGGCGGTACCGCTGCGCAACTGGAGAGCGACCCGCGGAAAAATGTGGGGGAGTTTGCACATTGGGGGAAACTAGTGGTTCTCCAGCGCTGCACAGCTGGAAGGGATCTGAAATTTCTGTTTGAGAATCTCTGTCTGGGACAAACAGGAAATTTCTCTCCCCCGAGGCCCGAAGACTTTCCCCCTCCGTGCTGAAACTGCGGAAGGGAGGGGCAGTGGTTGGGGCGTGGTGCGGATTGGTGAAAAATTAGGCGAATAAAATAAATTAGGGGTTCTGATTTGTGTATATATTCTGTACAGTGATATACTTCATCAGGTCAGGCCAATTCATTCATCTTTTCCACGTTAAGTTTAGACATACCACCCCCATCTTTGGACAAGAATTAGAAAAACCAGAGATCAACTTGTAAGCAAGCTGAACGCTCGAGTGTGGAGTGGAGCTGCAAAATTAGGACAAAACAAATTCAACAAAGCAACTATACAAGTATGATTTGTACATAGTCAAGACAGCAGCCACAAAAACACATCACTTTTCTTGAGACATGCACAGCATTTACATCAGGCCGCTGCCAAAAAGTGACACAAGAAGTTCTGCTCCAAGCACCACATCATCGTCACTCGCTTTCCTTCCCCCTTGCTCCTTCTCAAGCAGTGCACACAGCTTCTCTTCAACCCCCTCCCTTCTCAAGTCCTCACACACTTGCCCTTCCTCTGGCACTTCCTCTGCTGCTGGGCTGGCTTCATTCAGGTCCATAAGACCAGGGATGTAGCACCTGTCGTCAGCTACAACCGTGGCTCCTGTGGGGGAGGCTGGGGCTGTTCCCTGAAGGCTAACGCAGCTCGTGCCTGTGCTGTCAGCAGCATCTCTGCTGCGATCCTTTTGTGCGTCCACAGGAGCGAGGGGAGAGCTCCTGCGGAGCTTCTTGAACGGGCGATACTCCTCCAGCAAACACATGGGGGCAGCAACAGCAGCAGAAGAAGCAGCAGCAGCAAGGGCAGCAGCAGGGGCAGCGACAGCAGCAGCCACAGGAGCAGGTGTCGTGTGGGACGAGGCTGGAAGGCCACAAAACATGCTCTTCTGCAGCATGGCAAGAGGAGACCGCGGGCTGCCATCCTCGCTGTCGCAGTCGCTGTTGCTGCCGCTGGTGGCAGGCGACGGGAGGCCGTTTGAGCATGGCGCGGGCCCGTACAAGGGGCCGGTGTAAGGGCGAGGCAGCTTGGAGCGCGCCTTGTGGAGAGGCGAGTGGGGCAGAGGCTGGGAGAAGGCCGGGTTGATGGCTTCGTATTCGCGCAGCATGGCTGCCTCCTGGGGGGACGCCTTGCGCTTGCCACTGCGGATCTTGTTGAAGCGAATGCCGCACGCATTGCACAGCGACTGCAGCCAGGGAGAGAGAGGGGAGGAACGGAGAGGAGAAATTAGTGACTGGCTGTGGTGAAATTGGCGAAAAAGCATGATATTTACAGCGCAATATGCTGCGGATATGATGTTGGCCAAAAATACCCCTGCAGAATCGGATGTGGTCATTAATTACCTTGGGTCCGGGTGGGCCATTTCTCCAGAGCGGCGTTTTGGACGTGCCGCAGTGAACGCAGGTCTTGACGATTCCGTCACTCTGCACCGCAGCAGCACCAGCAGCAGCAGCACCAGCAGCAGCAGCGTCGTTTCCTTCGCTGTACTCCCAGCGGTCCTGCGTGTCATCGCCTCCCGTCTCGCCTCCAGTCACCTCTCCGTGCATTGTGACAGACGACTCGGTGCACATGTCAAGGCCTGACATCCGGCCGCGGGCTGTAGGGGCACTATGGCGAAGGCTGTGTGGCAGCACGGCTTTAGGAGCCGGGGACTGCGGGCCAGAAACGGCATTAGCATGGTCGTAGTTAGTAGCGATTCGCTCAAGCGACTGCCAGCGGTTCCCGACGGCGCTGACGTGGGCGTTTTCCATAGGTCGATGTGCAGCGGCTCGCTCGCGGGAGATCGGGTGATGGGGGCGGGACGAGAAGGCAGGGACAGGGGGAGGGTGCGTGCGCGCGGCTGTCGCAGAAGCGAGGCCGTGCGACGGCTCTGCGACGTCGCCGTCGCGAGGGAAGAACATGTTGACGCCATGGCAGGTGATCGGCTTCGCGCCGCTAGCCGCGGGAGTCGCGGGGGCTTGGGAGAATTCCTGGAGCAATTCGCGGCGGAAATTACGGAGTAAAGAACGATTATGAGAACAGGAGCACACTTCACAACTTCGTAAGAGAACGCGCGTCGGCCTGATTATAACAGAAGCCGTGAACCGTTCACAAGTGAAGGGAATGACGGAACTGCAATTCCGCGCTTACCTGTGACGCCGATTCGTAAGACGACGACGGCGGGTGATTGATGTCGATAATCGGCCGCGGAGACTTGCGCCGCGGCGACGGATTCGCGAAAGCGTCGCTCGCTCCGTCGCAACACCCGTCGCTACGAAATGTCGCAGGCGCACAGCAACCAGGCGACGGCGCCTGTCGCACATGCGAGCCGTATTCGCGGCTCAGATCGTCCGTGAAGAGATGCACGCGAATCGGACGGTGGGGAACGGACGGCGCTCCGCCGGTCGCAGAAACGGACCGCGGCGGAGTCGAGGGATCGTACGGCGGTTCGACCAGCGGGTAGGAGAGGAGATGGCCGAAGCTCAACATGGGAGGGGAGATAGCTCCCATGGGGCCGCCACCTCCCATGGGGCCGCCACCTCCCATGGCGGCGCCGCCTCCCATGCTAGGATTCCCAGAAACAGAAACGAGCGTTGGAGGTCCCCCGGAAGCAGTAGACGAATCGAAGGACGCCGGGAAGGACTCGAGAGCCGGCGGCTTGTGCCGAATCCATGATTTCTTCGCGTGGTGGTGGTGCTGATGGCTCCCGGTCGGCGCCGCGTGATGCGAATGCGAGGCCGGAATATGCAGCATGGTGGTGAGATAGTACCGAGGGTGATAGACCTCGAGCAAAAAAGGAGAGCGCTACGCGTCGCGTGACGAAGATCGTAGATGATGATGCTCTCGCGCTGAGGTGCGAATTTCTACGGCGGCGGCTGCCAGCAGCTTCAGTAAACTTCACTGGCGTCAGTGACGCTCGGTTCAGCGAAGAAGCTGTTACTGAAGAAGGAAGTCAGTCGACGAACGACTCGGAACGATTTAGTAGCTGAAGCGGAGCGAGATCAGCTGACTAATTCGCAAAATAGTAGGAGGCACGAAAGGCGAAAGGGCGAAATACGATGCAAGAAAGTCGTCTCGGGAAATGAAGCATCTCGAGATCGGTCTAGCTCGGATAAAGGTCGGCTTGATTGATCAGGCAGCGTCGCCTCGCGCATGGAGCGGTGCACAGTACAGCTTTGATCCGTCCAAATGCAGAGAGGAAAGGAAAGGGCCGGCTTGTTCTAGCGTTCTGCTTTCCGCACTCCGCCATTCATGCGCCTCCATCCTCCATTTCAGCCGTTTCCCTGCATGCGCGCCTTCATGCTTCTCAGGTACTTGAGATGTGGGAATTTTGATATTTTCCACTACTGCCCTGTACATGAGAGAGTGCAGCATTTTATTCAAAAAAAAGTTCCTTTCTGCCATTCTGCCCTGCTACGGCAGACGGTCTGAGGGCTTGTTTTTAGCAGGTGTCAAACCGGAATCAGGTGTCATCCGAGAATGCTGGAAACCCATCTCAACCGTTTAAGTTTTGAAATAACGATTGCGATGGGTTTCCAGCATTCTCGGATGACACCTTTTTCGAGATGATCACGCCCAAAAATCACGCCCTAATTTTCCAGGATAGCGCAATCGTTTCGTCATGCCCCTCGTCCCGAATTTAGGGCCATTTCTGCCTGCCAAGCAGACTGCTGATACAATTGATTGTTTTGGGGGCTTGAAACCCAAAACGATTACGGTCACGGTACAGTAGCCCAATCCCATCCGAGTCTCGAGTCCTCGCCCCGCGTGACCCGCACGAGTCTGCCCTGCTGCGGCATCGGCATCAGCAGCTGGAGCCATGGCGCATTGATGCGGTGAGGTGACTCGCTGCGGGATGCTGACGTAGGCAGCCAATCGGCCAATGGGAAGCACCGACATTAGGGGATCGAGAAAGGAATCGGGATGCACGGGAGAATTCTGGTTTTGGTTCTAGATGGACGGAAAAGGGGGGGATGTGGGGAAAAAGGAATGGGCGGAAAAGCTAGGGGAAGGGCTACTGGTTTCGGTTCTGGAATGCCTGCCCGCCAAGGATGGCCGGAAATACACTGTACATTTCCGTTGATTTTGTGAGGCTGTTGGTGCATGTGGGGAGGAGGGATGAACGAAACGGGACGGAACGGGACGGGATGGACGGAAACGGAGATTAAACAGATGTGTGTCTGTCTGTCCGTTTGCACCCGAACCGAACCGTGAGCTGGCAGGCAGAGCAGAGAGCAGAGAGGGCATGTGCTTGATGGCGTCAAGCCAACTTCAATGAGTGTCGCCCATGCGGCAGCAGCCATGCATGGACTGAGGCGCAGGGACTCGCGCGGAGTCGCGGAACTTATCATCCCGACTCCCGAGTCTGCCCGGAGACTCTGGCTGGAGCTTCCATTGCGCCAACGCACTGAACCGAATTGTCATGTCTGGGAGGGGGAGGAGGCGGGGCGGGGGAGGTTGGGGGAGGGTATGATGGCGCAGGAGGTGGGGGGAGGTGCAGGGTACTGTAGCGGAAAAGGAGTTGCGCGGAAAGACTGTCGCACCTGCGTGGACGAAACAGTGTTTCATTTCATCCCTCGCTGCCATCGGGTGTTTTTTTCCACCTGTTGCCCGCAGCAGAGCAGCCTGCCTGCCTGCCCTGCCAAGTCCCTCCCATCCCGTCCCGATGCAGGCGCAAACCAATCTTCAACGATTCTCTGTGCCTCCAATGCGAAAGTGTGCAGGTGATGACACGGATGTTGTTCAGTTGACGCGACACGATGCACGCGCGGCATCTCCTAGCGGACATTGGATCAAATGGGTGCCCCTTAGACGGCGGAAGGGACAAGTGAAGCGGGTCCTAACCGCGCGCACAGATCCATGGCTGTGATGAGATGGTCTGGTCGTGAGAAGGGGGAATGATCGGGAGATTCGGGAGCGGGAGGACCTGATCCGACGGATCCAATGGGTGGGGTTGGGGAGCGGTGGAGCGGCTTGTGGTCAACCGTTTTTTGGCAGCCGCCTCCATCGATTGTGGACAAATCGGGAGCTCTCTCACGGCATAAACCGATTTCATTGGTTCACTTTCACAAGCCGAATGCGTGCAACTGCAGCGCACCTGATCACGCGGGCATATTGCGCTTGCACCAATAGAATTCGTTCTCGACGTGGTGATCGGCGAGGACCAGCGTGGCTTGCCATGACCGGGGGTGGCTTCCTCCATGAGTGCACTTCGTTGAGCTGGCGTAATTCGTTCTTTGTGGTTTGAATTAATCATTACTCCCTATGGGCCACACCTGGTGTTGCAACAAAGGCAGACTGTGACGCCATTTCCAGCCAACCCCATCTGTTTGATATCTCCCCGATTGGCTCGGGCAAAACTGGATGCTTGACTGAGTGCCTGGTTGGCTGATAACGGGATGACATGGGCTCACCTTACGACATTCAAGGCACTCGAGAACTCTCAGTGAAAAGGGCAGAATGACCGACCTGTGCATCTGCGGCAGAGCAGGGAACTGTGCAGCTGACTAGGATGAGTCTGAAGGTTGCGTGTGGAACCATATGATCAGAACCACATGGAGGCTCTTACAGCCACAAATGTGTCAAGCCCACACCATTCTAATAGCGCGGTGGAATGGAGTGCCAGATAGATTTTCTACTCTTATGTTCTCCACCCAACCTTCATAGCTTTTGTATCCCCTCAAAATAAAGACTCTCAATATTCATTATCTGTCGGCATTATGTATTAGTACAACAGGGGTACTACTGGTTTGCAATCCAATAGGTCTATGTTGAGTGGAATGTTTTGGAATGGATGTAGCCATCGGTGCCAATGCTGATAGCGAATACCGTTGTATTGAAACGTTGTGACAAATCGAGGTGAAGAGGACATGGCCTTGGAGGAAGAGGTGTTAAATTATATATTGTGTTACATAATTGGTAGGCTTGGTAGGTTATCAAACTCTACTTTAAAGGGTACAATCCCCTCCTTGTATCCCTCTCTCTTTCTAGTCTATCCTCTTTTCTCTCGTCAACTTTCTCTCATAGTTCCTATCTCCTAAACCCTCACGCCATTTCATGGCCGCCTTTCTTCCTAGCTAGTCTTTTGACAAGAGGCCCACGTAGATTATGACAACCCCTTCTATACTTTTTTTTTGTGTGTAAGGGTGTATCCTAAGCACGGTTTCGGATATCAGTTGGCCAATAGGGCAGTTGGCCACTGCCTCACTCTCCGCCCTCCAGTTCCTGGTCGGTGGGCAGGCATATCGTATTTTACGCGCACCGCGACTGCCAGCGAAGAATTTCGAATCTGATTCGGCAGCAACCTGACTCAAATTGCTACCACGCTTTTGACTGCTAGTGCGTCACGCGCAGGGTTGCCAGCCTCCGTGCATCTTCATGGTGGCAGCAATGTGACAGCACACAGCAAAGCAGCCAAGAAAGCCACCCACCGCGTGCCAACAAGGCATGCGGTTCGTAATGGGGCTGCAACCTTGCCATGTTGCAGCTCGACGAGGCGCCTCCCAGTAAAGGCAGTCTCGGCAAAACCTCGGAGTCACTTCACTTGTTCCGCCTCTTTCTTCTAGGCAACGCAACATGATGAGCATGGCTCTATTGCTCGGCTCCCACGCTGCCTAGATGCCCTCTGCAGCTCATTGTCTAGGCTTCGATGGCTTCCGAGATTGTGCCTTTGAGCATCTCTCCGGTTAGGCAATCAGTAGTAGTTGCGGAGCCCCCTGGCTCAGTCCCCCTAATTATTAGTGGCCTATATCTACTCACTGGCGCACTGAACCGCGCTGTAATCGACGAACCCACTTTGACCGTACCGAGGCTCCTCTGTCACCTCTCCCACCAATCGACGATGAGCTGTGGGTTTTCTTTGACAAAGAAAACACCACGTGTGACGCTTCGATCCCTCCAATCCCATCACCGACACCTGGCAGTTCGTCCGTGCGTGCAACCTCACCTCCCCCTGTGATGCGCGGTCCTGTTTTCCTTGCCAGTGCTTTAGGCAAGACAAAGTATCAACAACGCAAGCTGACCTTTGGGCACCCTTCGTCGGTGCAATCTCCACCCTCCATTAACCTGCGAGTCCGATCCTCCAAAGAAGCTTCAGCCGACCTTACAGATGACGACGGACCCTTTCCGCTCACCGTTCCCGAGCTCCAGTTGAAATCAAAGGAGCAGTGGCAACGGCACTTCCCATGGCTGTTAAAGGGGGAATAGACATTAAAAAACAAATGCTGTGCAAGCACCATCATAGCCAGAAGCACGAGGCAGCGATGGCGTGGAAGGAGCGGAAGGATTACAAGAACGTGAAGCAGAAAAACATCGTCAACTACAAGAATGGCGACGACGAGGCCAAGCGTCTGAAACGTCTCATGGCTATTGTCATCTTCCTAAGCAAGTCTAATGTCACTGTTCTTTTGTTCGTGTCACTTGTCCAGTTCATGGCACAGCAGGGTACACCTATCCTGCCAGTGAAGGACAACGGGATGTATCAGAGCGAGTGAGTATTGCCCATATTGCTTTACTTTTCAAGCCGGCTTGATTCTTTAAAATATCCTTGAATTCTAACATTCGAAAACTCTCCTCGCATGTACGGCTTTAATCAATTGGTGAAGAACATCGTTTCCTACCTCCGCGCCAAACAGATGACTCACATCAGGGCCTCTCCATTCCTCGGCATCCAGCTCGACGAGTCAACCGATCGTCGTCGTGGTAAACATATAATTTTTTACCTGACATTCCTCCGCAAATTTCTGGTGGTGACCGAATTCTTCTGGCATCATCTCACCGTTGAGAAGTGCGACACAACTTCTCTTCAAGCTGTTCTACTCACTCATTTGGAGTCTCAAGGAGTTGACCTTAACAAGTTAGGTGGCATCAGCACTGTCGAGGCTAGTATGATGGCGGGAGCGCAAGCCGGTCTTCTGGCTAGGCTACATACTTGGATTCCGCACCTGGTCTCGTGTCACTGCATCGCTTATAGGTAAGTATGACCTTCCGCCGATCTCCTTTGCTTCTTTGATTTGCACAAAACATACAACAATGGGTTGTTTCAATAATGTGCAATGAGGCCTTTGCGGCAAAGGACACT